ATCTGGCTCAAAGCGGAACCCACCGGGAAAACCTATGGCCAGCTTACTTAAGGCTGAAGTCACAAGGGCAAGGCCTTTGGCAGCCAGTTGTCTAGCGATTCATCCCTTTGCTATCTGCAGGCTCGTGCACGCCAACCCTTCAACTCCACACACCTTCTGACAAAGTTGCACAAAGTTCTGACAAAGACCTGATCCACAATGTAGTCAATAGATTAGGGACAATAAGCAGAAGAAGAGCAATGACATCATTTTGGAACATGCAAAAGCAATCAAGTGGCAGCAAATTCATCTGCACTGTGATTACAACATTTTGACAAATTGGAAATCTCAGGATCTAAGAATATAATGAAGTTGTACAAGAAGACAAAATCATGTAGAAGACAAAGAATGGTATTCTTGGAGCTTATGGTTATAGCTGAATGAACACCAAGGGTCTCCAATACCTGTACTGTTACTAAGGAGCAGGCTTTTTTTTTCTACATAAAAAAAGCACCCCTAAATTGCGTGATCTGCGTGAAATGTGATTCCATTTCTTGAAACAGCTTATACATTTCCCAGCCATTTTTTTTTACTACTAGCGGAAAATGACTGGTCTTACATCTGACTTAAAGCACATGCTGTTTACAACACACTCGGTTAATTGTTTTATTCAACGGTAGGAAATGGTTCCCCATCCTGCAAAGATTTATAGTGATAATTTGTATAGCTCCAGCTCAAAGATCAAGCCAGTTACTGTATTAGAAGACTGGAATTAAATCAATTAAACCCCCTAACCACGCTTTCTAGGGCTCACTTGCACTGATTAGTAAGTGCCCACACCTGGGACTTAACCTGTTTTTGCCTTTCTATACCTGGGAGCTTGAATCTGCTAAATTACCCCACAAGAAGAGGTATCCCACTGTACAGTTAATCCAGCAGTATGGCGTCTCATTATTTTAACTAACACCTTAACTCAGGCAGACCACACTGGAAAAAGCCACTGCAATTTTCAGGTGAGGTGATCTTTACGAGTGAAAGAAATTCACTGGCTAAAGAGCAGAAAAAAAGCAATTAAAATGCCTACATTTCAATAATATATCTTCGTATTTGACTCAAATTCTTAAAAAAATAAGGAATCTACGAAGTCTAGAGATTTCAATGATGAGCAAAATGGATCTGAGAAGCAGATATAATAACTATAGTCAACTATAACTATAATCATAATAACTATAGCCCTCACACACAAAGAAGGCTCCACAGCCAAAACGTTGCATTTCCTTTCTTCTCTTTTCAGTATTGAATAAACCCTTTACTTCCTATGATAACTATGTGCACTTTGACAAATCTCAAATTTCACTAGCATGTAATAAATGCATACATTTAACAAGCTATGTAAAACAGAGAGCTGCAAAGACCTAAGGACTAGAAAATGTTGTTGAGGTCTTACTTCCAAAATTCAAATGCATAGATAAAATCTCATGAAAAACGTAACTACAGTATGTTTTGAAGAGCGTCTCCATTTCTGTAGAGAACAATTGGTGCAATGCAGACAGGACTTCCTCAATTGACTAGGGCTTCACAGACGAGCGTCACCCACAGACCTTAGCAGTATTTCCAAGTGACTGGAGATTTTCAGAGACATCAAGGCCCGGCTATCTATACGCATAAGTTGCTACTCTGGCTCAACAAGTATGGCAGCAAAGTTTTATCAGAAATCTCAATCAACCAATGCAAGTCTCACTTGAACTGTTGTCACCTAGGAATCAGCTAAATAACACATACAGGAGTTTTTTGTGATTTTACACATCGAAAGCTAGAAGAAATATTGAGAGTGATGTAGCTTCTCTAAAATTTACACCATGGAATTGCTGTGCTTCATTTACTGATGACTTATTCACATGTAAAGTTATTCACAACATACGCTACTGATGGACAGCAAATGGTGCCTGCCATTACCAAGTCACTGAGACACTTGTGGGGGTGGCAACAAAATGGTATGTAAAGGGATCATTATCTCTAGCTACACAGCCCTCCGTTCTTCACAGCCACAGTGTCAGAGGTCTAATATGCAGGAATTGCAAAACAATCCCCTAACCAATCTCAACAGAACTGAACGCAGATATTGTCGTAATTGGTCATGATGTTTGCCCTCACAGAGACAAGAGGACAAATATTTCAGTCTGAAAGGAGGGAACCGCCAGAAGAGAATGGACTCCTGTCCTGCTCGATCTGAGCTCCATTGAAAATGCCTGTGCAATCGTTACAAGATGTTTTGCATCCTAAAAAAAATCTTTGAAGATCTATTTCACAGTTGGCCGCTGCCTTGAGGGAATAGTGAAGGACAATGCTACAATTCACGCATACAATTCATGTCTTTTATTTTAAGCACTCCTTGTCATTGGCAGGCTTGTCCAATGTTCAAGGTGACTAGACTCTACAGAGGTATCAAACTATTCTTCTGGGAAGCAAGGAGAAGAAAGAGAGGGGAGGCTTACCATAGTCTACTGGCCACTTAATATGTTCCATTTTTGCAGTGCTGTTGAGCATTTTTTAATTCCAATTAAAAAAAATATGCTCAGGTTAACAGAGTTTCTTTCTAATCAGGTGACCCTTGAATTTCTTAGATGTGTGCAAATTAAGTTTTCACCCGAAACATCACACCTTTAATTAAATTAAAACATTTGTGCTAAAACCGTTGTCAAAACAGAGGAAAGGGGCTGAATAATTGAATGAATATCAACATGTGAGGAGTGACTGAGTTATCCTAGCTGTCAAGTCACTACATTTGAATATTCATTTTATTCCCCCTCGCTTATCTTCTGCTTATCTCTGGTGATATGTTACTAGTGTTTGTCTAGGTAACGAGAAAATATAAGTAATGTTAAGCGAAAGCTCCCAATAAAAGTTAGTCCACAAGAAACAGACCATAAACTAGTACTAATCACTACTTTTTTTCTTTTAGTTTCATTATTTATGTTAGAAAACAAATGCTCCCCATTCAGATATTTTCCTTTTCTCCATTTCTCATACATTCATTAGTATTACGTTGATTACCAAGCTACGATGTTTCCATTTTTATTGGGCTAATGCAATAGTCATTAATAAACAAAACAGAAATGACTCACCTTTAATTTGGTTAAGGAAAGAACCTTAACAAAAATATTTATCATTGCAGACAGGACTCAGTGAATGAAACCAACCTAACTCAAAGGTCAGTTTGCTGCCAAAATACTGTGTATTTTAACAGCCGTTATTACATTTCTTAATTTCACCAACCGTATTTCATGTAAGAAATAAATCATAAAGTAAATAAACCATAAGGTTGATCATAAATACACTTAAAAACTGGAAATAACAATCCTAGCTCTCTCCAGTTCATGCCAATTTAGTTTGATATACCTCAGTATGCTCAGAAAGTCATTTGGCACATTTCTTTGACATCACAGAAGGTTGCTTGAGCAGTGCACTTACATTTGGCTCATCCTTCAATCGCAACCTACTTTTTTCTGCACCATATATTGATTTGAATGAAAACAACTTGCTAATCCAAATAAACACGATGTCAGCAAGCCATTCAAGCTAACAAAAATATTAGCACAGCATGATATGTTGTGGAAGCCACAGGGTTACTAGTGTTGCTAGTGATTCTAACCTCTGAATATAGAATGCATAGAGGAAAAAAAAAGTTATCATTCAGATAACCAAGTGACCATACTATAATCTTTTCTTGAACACATTTCTGAAGACAAGGTTTATTTATTATAAAGACACGTCATCAACAAAGAGTGAAATATTTGTTGTCTACACTGAACAGTTCACCCGGAAAGCCTGTAAAACTAACAAACAGGGCCTCCGATGCCCAAATCGAGCTGGATTTTCCTTGCTTGGCTGCTCATGCGGGATTAATTCTGGGTTAGGAAATGGAAACACCCCAGAGGACCCATGTGGCCCTGTGAACTGTCCTGATGAGGGCTTCTGGGGAGCTAACCATCCTCATCTCAACCACATCCTGCACTGTACCTGCCTCAAATCCCAGAGCACATGACTGGAGAGATGTGACCCAGCACAGCATGGGAAGGAGGCTTTGGCAAGTTTTAAGGTCATGCTAATTGCAATATTCCACTCTCATGTCTTCCCATGTTATGAATGCATTTAAATCATAGTGCAGGTGCTGTGTGTCCTTTAAACCTTTAATTAAATATCACTCAAAAGGTTAATGCAGGTAACAGGTACTACATACTTCATTTACAGGACGAAACAGAGGTACAGAACCGTGACAAAATAAAAACAAAACCTGACAGGGTTAGTTAGATAATCTCAATACCTAGATCAGGAATTGCTTCAGACTGAAGTAATCCCCATTACATCGGAAAGCATTTGAAAGACAGTTAATACCTTTTTTTGTAAAAATAAATAAATTGAAAGCTTCCACTGGTAACTAATCATTATGGTTTAACACGTTATTCAACAAATGGATGCAGACTTTATATGCTCACACCACAATAAGAAAGCAAATATGGCAGCAATCATTTTGTATACTCACAGGGTGACGATATAAACAAAACTTTTAAGATAAAAAATAGAACTGCTTTACAGACTATTTTGAAATAAATTTCACACCTTCTGAATGACCAACATCTGCAAAGTGCATCCTTTTCTGCCTTGTTACAAAACACTGCTTGTTTCAAAACATTGTTTAGGACATGATTAAGATACATGGAGTGGGGCTACGACAGAGATCCTTTGATATTCTGTGAAAACCCATGTTTAAACAGTGAAAAATAATGCTAACGGTAGAAAGCAGTGAGAATCAGAAAGTATTTCAATACCAACTTCAAGCGCAATATCTATGTATAACAGCACATCTTTAATTGCATGTTTCCGGATTTTTTATTTGGGGCCCCAGAATGATTAGGTAGCTGTGCAATAAAGAGGAAGGTTGCTGGAATATGTAAAATGATTGTTGAGAGCCACAACAGCACCAGCATTTATTTTTTCAAAAATAAAGTGTAGAAACTTACCAGCCTTCTTGCAAATTCTTTATTTTCTGATAAAAATCCATAGCCTGGATGCACCTATAAATAGATTACAAACAGTAAAATGTATAATGCTCAAATGTTACAAGGTCACTAATTCAATCTGAAATATTTCCAAAACAAAGACAAAATATCCTGATTCTGCTTAATAGGAATATGAGTGTTTGACAATAGAATCTAATGAATATATCTACTTCACCTGTATGTGTTAAGTTTACTACTGTCTATATTGCTCCTTTATTTGATTTATTCTAAAAGATATGATAAGCAATGACCATGACAGCACTCACAGAAACACAGCCTCTGTTCCAGGTGTTTTTAGGTTTGCTTCAATCATTACACTTGAAAAATGAAGGAACACAAGTAACATAATACAATAAACTGAACAGCTATACTCTGACCAACTATTGGACCTCAGTGACTGAGCCAATTCTCTTGTACAATGTACAGGGTTTAAACTTGAACTAATTAATGCTGAAACAGCTTTAACTGATAAACAGAGATAAACATGCAATCTAAAATTTAGTTAAAGCTAACCAAAAAAAAACAGATTTCTGTTAATAAAGCTCAACCTCCAATCAGTAGGATTCAAAGCTGTGTTTGTGTTTTTTCAAATAGGGCCTGTACAAAAATAGCATTTAACATTCCAACAATTAAATCTGTGCACAGATGTTAATGAGCAACATCTTATATTAATTTGACATCAGGTTTCTAAAGACAATTAACTGACTTGACCCTAATTAAAAGGCAGCCGAGATACATTGAAAATAAATCAAATTGCAAAGTAGGAAAACCATTTTTTGTTGTTTTGTAGAAAGAGAATTAAAACTCAATGGAGAGTTGCGCATCAAGCAACAATGCCAGGCTGATTATCTGCATAATAAGGGTTAGGTATCAGACAAAGGAAGGGAAGTTGCTCAGCTGATCTTTCTTTTCCGCTGTGTTTTTGTCTCTCCTGCCTCAGTGAGCTGTTTGAAACACTGGAGACTGCAGGGATTCAGTCAGAACCTCCGATCTGCACTAAGTATTGCAACAATCAAGGGGAATTCAGAGAACACCCTTAGAATCGCTTACTTAAGAATTTCACCTTCTTTCAAATAACATTGTTTCAATTTTAATGAGGATCTCTTATTTACAATGCATTTATTATATGTTAGTAAGGCATCTCACATTTATTTGGTATGCTTAACCTTGCATCAAACACTAAAGCCCTCACTGCTCTATTAATCAATTGTATTCTCAAGTATGTGTGCCTTGAGAATAACAGGCCACAGCACAGAAAAAATAATCAAACCCTCTAAGTAACTGTCTTTAATTCTCCTCGGTGTAAACATATTTCATCTCTTTAAAAGGATACACCTTGACTACCTGTCGGAGCATTACTTACATGTTGACAGGTGCAGTTTTATCAATACATAAATAATCAATGTAGTTCTATCAATCAATCAATAAATGTTAATGCATTTCATTACAGGAAAATTAAAGACCAGATAAAAATGAAACTAAACCTGGATGCAAATCTCTAGCAAGTCTCAACCAGACCAAAGTCTGATCTCTGAGCACAAATCTAAGAAGCTCAGACTCCTGTGTCCTTGGTGTCTGAAGTGGAACAAGCTGTGAGGTTTACAACAGGTTTAACCCCTTCAGTGCACACCTAGTGGTTTGTATTTGCTACTAAAACCACTAAAACTAATGGTAAAACAAAGTATACATGACGCAATGATTTTTCCACTGTGTATGGAGTCATGTGCACAGCAAATAATGCATGAATAACTATTATGTCATAACGAGTCTATTCTCTGTGCAATGGTGATGAATAGTGAATAAGACTCAAAACATGACCAAGGTGTTCACAAGATGCACAATAAAGTGTAGGACAATGCTGTTTATAGTAACTGTTAATATATTATACTCTATAAAATATTTAAAAATGCATGTAAAACATGCCAAAAACTAATTTTACTGCACATCAGGGCCCTCTCTGATTGTCGCAACCTTTCCCACTTCTACAATTAAATACAAAAAGCACATCACTGAATTATGTACATGTAATGTTAAGAGTTTTCTTTTGTCTACATTTGGTGATGCCAAGTTTTTTTTGACAAATTGTGAACATTGCTTTCTTATCCATCAGCCTTGAAACCTTGGTGTACAGATTTTAATTTGAACCCTGTGTTTTGAAAACGTACAAAAAAAACGGGGCACTCAATTTTTTTATTACATATTTCAACCAGGCTTTTTAATCTCTGTAAAAACAACGCCATTCTAATTCTCTCATGCACTGCAAATTGCCCCCCGCAGTGTTTTTGTTGTTTCTTGTTGGGTTAAATAATGTATTTTACCCTGAAAATTCTCCTCTAATTTCTAGCTTTCCTTATTCAAATAAAGGAGGAGACGTCCTTCACTTATACATTACACCAGCACACCTTTCACTATATATATATAAGGATTAGATGGGCACAGTATCATTTCCTATTTCCCCTCATCCTCACTCCTTGAGCACCTGGATATCTCACCTCCTTCATGTCTCAGAATTAAAGCCCCGTCGCATACCTAGAATTTTACATTTTCTCTTTTTGCTTTTTGTCTTTTTTTTTCTTACTGCAAATTCGGGAACAAGCTGGAGCTGCTCCCTGGTGTGAGAACTGAATCCAGCAGCCACCTGCAAGAACAGCCACCAGGACTGCCAGATGCCACAAAGCCTTTGATATTTTTCAGCCACTGTTTTTTGGCTGCCTTTAAAAACCCGTGCAGCATGAACACATAAGCTAAACAGGAATATCAAACACAGTCTCCTTCTCTTTCTGTCACTCTTTTTTGTCTCTTTCTTGGGGAAAAAAAGGTCTTGTTTTTTCCAAAAGCCTTTTTTTTTCCGGGGGTTTGAGTTTGGGGTATGTTTAAGCCGCAGTGGCAGCATGACTCTGACTCATTCAGACTCACAGCTTGGGCTCCGGTTTTCCTAATGGCCTCCATGATGGCATCCATGTTAAGGTAGCTTTTGCTGGTGGGAGCCGGGCCAACACATACTGCCTCGTCCGCCATTTTCACATGCACCTGATGAGAGAGAAGAAACAAGCGCACAGAGCTGAAGAACAACAACATAAAACATAAAGCACATGTACACATGCCCCTAAAATAAGAAAAAAAAACATGGGAATCTAAAGAGACAGAGATGCAGGGGGCATTAAATATATTTATCACAAAGAAAATATTCATAAGCCTTTTCATGTCTGCTCTCCCCCAGTTTGCTGTAATAATTAGGAGCTCTAGGCTGAAATAGTTGTAATCTACAGATTATTTCTTCAGTAAATAGAGCTGTTTGACAATGTTTGGAGTCCATTACTTGCAACTAATGTCCAGTAAGTGACATGATATATTACTGACACATTTCAAGGGAAACAAAATATGTTATGCTTGTAACCAACATTGTTTATACATTCATATTGAGAAACCAACATTCATAGCTAGCTCCAAGCTGGCACCCCAGGAAGATGGGGATAATTAGAGTGAATTGACTAAAAGGGATGCAATGAATATCCCTGCACAGCATCAGGTCAGAGCTGTGCACAAATTAAAGCTAAGTCTAAAGAGTTCAATATCAATTCATGTGAACCAGAAAAATATAAGAACAAATTCAGGCTGGCACCTCACCTTATGTATTTAAAGGTGCGTCTTATTTATTTAATCCAGCACGCAAATATGCCTGTGATCCTAGTGGTCCAAAATAAATATAGGCACACTGTACAAGAGCAGAAATTGCATACAAGATCTTGTAACAAAATGCTCACATTTTTAAAAGAAATTCCAGCTGAAGGCAAGTTCTGTGATATGGACTACGGTATCTAAGACACATAATCAGGAATTTAAATTATTCATTTTCAAGATAAACAGCATAGTACTGATTCCAGAACGTGCAGTAGTTCCTGACTGTTTTACAAACAGGACGGGTGAAAATACTGGAAACTGACATTTCCCTTCTGTCCATAAGGGTCAATGAATTTACCACAGAGCTCAACAAGCTTCTACTATCGAAGAACAACACACGCACACCTGAGAAGAACATGGTGACAGAACTGCAGCTAATTAAGTGACAGACAATTGCACTCAGGGGAGACATTCCTGGGAATTACTGTCAACAACTGAATAAACACTGTGGGGAAGGGGAGGTGTTTATGGGCCAGTTGTTCATCACTTTCTTTTTTATTAAGGTGCTAAAATGAATCACTGCTCTGACTTTTACCTTTCAGCACAGAAATTATATGTGTGTGAGGGTACGCGTGTATATAAATGTCATCTCTTCTCATTTTTTTCTTCATTGAATATTTCTATGATACACTAAGTTCTCTTCTAAAAGCAGGACAACGAATCCCAACTGTCACTACTTATTTTAATCCATTTGCCATTTCGCTCCTGCCTTTTTCACACGTGCCTACCAGGTTGAAGTTTGAAGAGCTCCTTATCTTTAGGGTGTTTTTTTGTTAGAAATAGCAATTTCAGTAAAATGAAATGTAACAGCATCTAAAGTAACACCAAATTAACCAATATTCTTGAACCAACAACAAAAATACTGTCATCTTTTAAAAATTAGAATAAAAGAGACAGAAGTGTCAGGTACTAGAAACAGCAAAGATTAAGAAATCCCCAGGGCCCAGTGGTATTTTACCAATTGAACTCAAAGAAACGAGACAAGATATACAGAAGCCATTGACATAAGTATTTCAACAGTTTCTTAAAACATGGATAGAACCCGTGGACTGGAGAATTGCTAATATTGCATAAGAAAGGTGGGTAAAATGAAACTGGGTTGTTGTTCTCTAATTACTTCAAGCCTGACTTTTATTAGATGTAAAATTATGGAAACAATTATTACCACTAATTTAGTAATGTCATGTCATTCGCCAAACTGCTTTATACCGGCGGGAAGCCGGAGCCTATCCAGCAAGCAACGAGCACAAGGCAGGGTACACCTTGGATGGGGCGCCAGTCCATGGCAGGGCAAATGCAAGCCAATCATACATGGGGACAATTTGGAGACCAAACTGGGAGGGGATGCAATTCAAGTATTCAGACTCGTCAAGCACACTGGGAAAGTCAACAAAAAAGACTTCTTCAGAATGAATAGTGAAACGCAAAAGTGGAAGACACAACTGGAAAAGTTCATTTTGTATTCAAGTACACTTAAAACTGAGAAGAGGCAGTTCTTCACCCACAGAATTATGAGACGATGGAACAAGGTAGTCAGTCATGTTGTTGAAGCCACTGCCCTGGTTTCCTTCAGGACATGGCTGGATGAGAACCTTGGACCAATTCCTAACTACCAAGCTGAATGACCTTCTTTCACTTGCAACCATTCTGAACTCCACCACATTGGCATCAATTTAAAAGAAGATAAAAACCAACTATACTGTAGCCTAAAAGAACCAAATAGTATGGATCTATAAGCATACTTGTATCACTGGAACTCTTTCAAAAAACTTCCAAACAGGTTTTTAAGTATAATACTTAACACATTCAGTTTAATACTGTTTTGTTTGGACAGTTTTGCTCAGCTATTCTTGAAGGCGAAAATTAAATATATGAAAAAAGTCTTTCATGGACAAAACCCTATTCCCATCTCTGAGCCAGACCTTAGTATAATACAATCTAGTTCAAGTAGATAGCTGTGTCAGCATGCGTAGGCTGCAAAGGAACAAGTAAAGGTTTATTCCATGCTGAAAAGAGAAGAAAAGAAACATCGGGTGTCACTAGAAGAAGGCTCCACAGCCGAAACACTGTTTCTTTTCTTCTCTTTTCAGCATGGAATAAACCTTTACTGGTTCCTGATACAATCTAGGTCCCGTAGGACTAGTAAAATGGAAATCTAAATATTGGAATTTCTATTTCTTCCACTCTCATCTTTCCAACGTCTGTTCAGAAATATTGCAAAAACCACAGCACCTTCACAATTTTGCAACATTAAGATTTGAAACTATCCATTGTCACTGAATGTTAATTGCTTTTAAGTGTAGTATTTATTGCTTTTTTTTAACTGAAGCCCTAAGAAAGAATTCTGTAAGAAGGAGGGCATTAATTTATGTATTGGCCTTGAGCACGCCTGCTGAACCAAGCAAATTAATTTGTCATAGGATCAATACTGTAGATCCATTTGCTAACTTTCCATCCATCCATCCAGTTTTTAGCCAATACAGGGTCACAGCCTATCCAGCAAACAATGGGGACCAGGCAGGATACACCCTGGACAGGATGCAAATCCACTGAAGTGCGTACACATACACAAACACACCTAAGGTGCCAATTTTCCTAGAAGCTATTTAACCTACCAGTATGTTGTAGGAATGTAAGAGGAAAACAGAGAACCTGGAGAAGAACAAACAAACTCTACATAGATAATACGCCAAGAATTGAACCCAGGCCCCAGCGCTGCAAGGCAGCAATGCTAACCATTGTGCCATCCTAATATTAAACCAATAATGAATAGAGATATTTTGTAAGGCATCAAAAAAAATAGACATCTTACTCTTTAAACGGTCATATATATATATATTGGTTTAATGTACTAAAACTCATAACAACCTCCTCTGCCTTCCTGGTAATTAAATATGCAACAATGGTTGATAAATATGAGAAATATAGTATGATAGCTTGATATGGCTGCAGAAAGTCTTCCGAGTCGTGTCTCCTTTAAGTATCCCTTGCTACCTCCTGAGTGTGAGTTGACAAAGAGCAAGACAACGCATCCACCGGAAAGGAACACGGGCTGATTTTGTCTGCGCAAAGGTGATTTGTATGCACAGCCGATCACTGGGTTTAATCACACTGCAATGATGCCACAGGGCAGCCAAAGAGAGAGGGAGTGTGCTCTGGGAATGCTGCATGAAGACTCAAGTAAGGGACAAAAAAAAAAGGGCTGGTGATCAACTCAGACCCACTCAACAACTTGCAGCAGCCCAACGCCAGGAATGTCCAAATTTGGAAGCGTCATCTGAAGGATCACTTCCGCGTGACATCAGCTACAGCTGCTGACAGAATTGGGCATCAGTTCTGCCTGATGACTGTAATCCGTCATCAGGCTCCCCTGCAACCGTAAGATCATGACTCAATGTCACTGGGCTGCACGACAGCAGTTTTAATATTAACATGGATGAAAAGATACTGGCAAGGGGGTTGTGCTGAATCCCCATATTCATTTGCCAGTGATAAAAAGCATGTATCCCCACATGCGAGGGTCAAAACACTCTGCACCAAACTGCAATTGGTGTCAAGCCCCAGTTCGCTGTACTGAAAGATATTAAACCCATCAGGCACTTGCAAGAACATGCAAACATGAGTATGGGTATAGATTTATCCCACATTTATTACTTTTAAACTCTGCTATGCAAATTCAAATGCGTGCCCAGTCTTAAGACTCGGAGACATTTTTGCACCAGTCAGATGATGAAATAGGTACTGTTACATCATTTCCAGCATTTATAAATCTATCAACCAGTTATTTTAACATTGGTACCGCATTTAACATTTACCAATTATCTTAACATTGGTATTGCATTCATCTTTAACTCATTCTTTGGGATCTGCACGGGTGGTACTGGGCACATAATGAACTGCCTGGTAACGTCAACATCTGCCAATGGCAGCTGGGTACTACACCAATTGCTCAGACATGCTGGCAAAGGGTTTTATGCTGATGCAACTATAAACAGAGAGGAAGTCGAACTGCCATGCACAAATAACTGAAAAAGAAAATAAGCTGGTCCACAAAGTCTTATTTACATTTTTTTTTCCAAACAAAATAAATTTGTAATTTAAACAGTGTGTACCACATAAAATACGTCCATTATTTATTAATGCGGATATTACATGGCACACAGAGCAGTACAAACTAAATAAAGACTAGTAAACTAGTTCGGTTCCGCTACTGTGGAAACATAGGTGACCATGACTTCATGATTTCCTGGGTGTTTATACCGAGCAATAAACACTTTTCAGAATTTGAGGTGTCTCAATTGCAAACATAATGAAATCACCTCCCTTACTGCTTTTTTGTGTGAACAACC